TGTTCTTATTTTTTTCTTATTATTCTCCCCCAAAGAAAAATTTTCTTCCCATGAGAAAATAAGAAAAACAAGAAAAAGCATTTTTGGTAGTGTAGAATACTGTAAAGACTGGTCCTCTCCTTGGTGCTGATTGTGTAGTTTGTACAACAATATAAAGACTGGTCCTCTCCTTGGTGCTGATTGTGTAGTCCGTACAACACTGTTAAGACTGGTCCTCTCCTTGGTGCTGATTGTGTGGTTTGTACAACACTGTAAAGACTAGTCCTCTCCTTGGTGCTGATTGTGTAGTCTGTACAACACTGTAAAGACTAGTCCTCTCCTTGGTGCTGATTGTGTAGTCTGTACAACACTATAAGGGATAGTCCTCTCCTTGGTGCTGATTGTGTAGTCTGTAGAACACTATAAAGGTTAGTCCTCTCCTTGGTGCTGATTGTGTAGTCTGTACAACACTATAAAGTTTAGTCCTCTCCTTGGTGCTGATTGTGTAGTCTGTACAACACTATAAAGATAAGTCCTCTCCTTGGTGCTGATTGTGTAGTCTGTTAACTGCTTACATAAGATTTACAGTGCAGATGTTACCATGTTAGTGAAAATGTGTTCTTTCTTTTTACAGACACAAGTTTACCTTCATCATATTGTCAGAGAGCTGTTAAGAAGAAAGTAAGTTATCTAACACCTAACTTTGTAGAAAAAAAGAAGACATGGATTTAAGAGATATTTTTGTATTTGCTGGAGGTAAATGTTTCCATTTAGTATTTTCTCCATAACAGCAATATTGAGATAGGAAGGAAATGCATTTACTGGATCATTTAAGTGTTACAAACTTGTATTCTCAATGACATTCCCATTTCCATATATTTTTTCCAGATTACGAAGATTATCCCTTCCTGTCTCTTTGTAACATCAGACTTAAACCACATGTGAGACATTGTTCTTAATTTTTACATTGTTTATGTTCCAGCCTGGGTTCCCACGCGCTCCAGATTGCGAAGAGTTGTCGCTCCCTGCCGTACTTCAGCCATGTGTTGGAGTTGTTGTTGCACCAGGTGTTGGAAGAAGAGGCTACAGCGTCCGAACCTATCCCAGGTACTGGCTAAGAACCGGGAAATTATTATTAAAATAATGCTTCAAATTCATTTTTGGGAATAGGTGCACTGGTGCACCCAACCTAAAAAATTAGGTGCACAGAAAATTTTTTGGGTGCACCATATAAAACAAAACCTAATTACAGATCTTACTGCTCCTCTTCTGAGCTTGAATCTGGAATGAGAAACTCTTAAACTCTTAGTACTACAGCAAAGATTTTATTATTTTTCTGACACTTAGATGCCAAGAATATCCTGCATACTAATATACATTTGATATCTTATTTTGGGACATTTTTGGGACAAAAGTAAAAAAGTTGATTTCGAGGCCTGAATATAAAACAAAAAACTCTAATTATCGAACAGAGGTGTAAGATCCTTGGTTTCTTGTTCCCATGGTAAACACGTGTTCTCCCACAGACCCTCTGCTGCCCAGAATAGTGGACTTCATACGAGAGTTCCCAGAGTTCCTGCAGACCATCGTCCACTGTGCCAGGAAGACAGAGATCGCTCTCTGGTCCTACCTGTTCGCCTCGGCGGGAAACCCCAAAGACTTGTTTGAGGTACATGTTATTCGCATATTATACATTTGTGTAAATACTATGTACATGTAACTTGTAGTTAGTTATACCTGTTTGTATTGTTGCAGTGACCATGAAGAAACCAAAACTGTTATTTTACAAATTAGGCCTAGGAAAAAAAATGTTGTGTTTCTTGTTTCACTGCTGAAAAAGTAGCGTCAATAGGTAGGGATTATCCTTTGTCTTTTCTTTCTTTTTTTAAAAGACTTTGGCGATCTCTAGTGATCCAACATACACAATACAGTTTAACAAAGTAAAACTTACACGAGGGCACTTTCATTTGTGATGTCAATGTTGGAAAACTGATTGCACAATGTTTCATCACCTAAGGCCACACCAATTTAATTTCTTGGTTAACGGATTCGCCCGCTTCATTTTTTTCTGATTTGCAAATAAAAATAAAAATTCATAATCAACTATAAAATGCTCATACATGTATTTTGCCCTGAACAGTTGAAAACGGTCCTTTTCATCCTAGTTGTTACAGTTATTCCATCTTTCAATGCAATGGTATCATTAAAAGTTCAAAATTCATTGTTTAAATTTTGAACCAGCCTGGAGTGTTGACTTCATGGCTCCTATCGTACCATTTTGGGCCAGAATAGGATGCCTAGGCCTGTTTTTTTTTTTTTGGCCCGCCCACTCCATTATTTTTCCAGAAAAATCCGTTAACCAAGAAATTAAATTGGTGTGGCCTAAGTGTCAGATCATGAAGCTAGAAAATGTCGGTTCAATTTAGTTATAATCCTTTCAGAGGTCCACACAAAAAAGTCTATAGGGTCACAGTTTTTCTAGGGTCGGTCGAGAAACAGGAAACACAACGTTTTTTTCCCCTAGGCCTTACATGTACATTTATTTCTGAGTAATGTAAGTACTATATTGTATATATGGGGTAGCTGGCCTGTCACTTGTTTGTTCATTTATGACTTTCTCTGGCCATAATGTTGAAGGTGAGAGTCATTAGGCCACACCAATTTAGTTTGTTTGTTTTGGAATTCGCCTCTTCATTTTTTTCTGATTTACAAAAAAAATTCTGGTTCTGAATCAACTCAAAAATGCTCATATTTTGCCCCCAACAGTTGAAAAAAGTCCTTTTCTTCCTAGTTGTTACATCAATGCAGTGGTTTCATTAAAAGTTCAAAAGTCATTGTTAAAATATTAACCCAGCCTTTTGTGTTGACTTCATGGCTCATATGGTATAGCATTTGGGGCTATAATAGGATGCCTAGGCCTGTTTTTATTTTAACACCCCTGCTGCACCGACAAATTAAATTGGTGTGGCCAAGTGCATAGGATGAAAATGATGACTTGTTTCCGCAGCAATGTCTGCAGTCCGGGTCCCTGGAGACTGCGTCATCCTACCTCATCATCCTGCAGAACCTGGAGCCTGCAGCCATCAGCAGACAGGTAACACCCCCGCTGCACAGTGGTACCATCCACTGGGCCTGTCTGTCTCATTGTAACATCAGACTGATCCACTCTGAGAATAGGGAATGCTACGTCCTTACAAATTTAAGAATCACAATCATTGAGTCAGGATTTTTTTTCTAGAGCTTCATCTATAGATGTGGCTTACAACTGTATTCATTGGCTTTTATTATTATGTTGACTCAAAAATATAAATTAACGTAATGTTATTGTTGAAAGCAGATTGTAAATTATTACTGTAAGTATAGTTCTATATAATTTTAGTATTGGATTTCAAGGTGTATTATCTAGAATTCCTCTGAGTATATGAAATAATTAATATGAAGTAGAGATCATGTATTATAGTATGATTATTCTATCCATTTCCCAGCATGCAACACTGTTGTTGGATGCTTCACTAGACAAAGGCAAATGGGAGGTATGTGTTTTTGTTTTTGCTAATAATTATAATTATTATTAATTGTAGTTGTAGTAACTGTTTATTTATTAATATGTGGGTCTTTCTATTCCATGTACTTGTTGTTCACTGATAGCAGTAACAGGCACTTTTTTGATACTTTTTATGAAAACATTGCTGATTATTACATAGAAATATTTGTGAAAAATTCTTGGCTTGAAGTTGACAGAGAAATTATATTTGAGCCCACTTTTGTTCCAATATTTATTTTTACTGAAGGAAAACATATTGTTTATGCTCAGTTTCCTCTTCTTCAAACACATAAGGTCAATGACCAGAACCAGATATCTCACTAAATGGTAACTAGTGTTGGGTTACATAATGTTGCAATTTTATAGCAAGAGGGATTTAGACTCCTGTCACCATTTATAAATTATGATTGTGTTTGAGTAAGAATTGAGAGCAGTCCATATGCAAAGGTAAACATTATGCATTTGCTTTGCAAATGTTACCTTTCTAGTGTTTGTTTGAGTTAATGTCTCAAGTTTATTTTCCTATCCAGCTTGCCAAAGACCTTGTGAGGTTTCTACGTGCCATCGGTAATGAGGACCCAGAGTCGCCCCCACGCACCCCCGTAAACCCCATCAACGCCCCCATCTACCCCCTGCCACCCCCGCCGCAGGATGGACCCTTCCCAGGGTTCGCATTCGGGTCACAGGCGCGGCCAGTCCGCAGCTACAGCATGGGGGAGAACCTGGCAGGAGTGAGGGAACGAGGGAGTGGGAAGGAGAGGGATAGAGAGAGGCACCACTCGGTTCAAGCCACCAGCACAACTAACAAGAAAACAACGTAAGACACACCAGCTACTACTAACACAGACCCTGTGCTACTAACACAGACAACTACAAGAAAGACCAACTCATCTTTTGTGTAAAAAATTTACTATAATTTTACAAAGATTTTTAAAGACCTTTAAGTTAGTCATAATGGGTCGTATAGTGTGAATTTGAGTTTTTTTGTTTTTTTTTTGTCAAAATTTATTCAAAAATGAACAGTCAATCATATACATGTACTACAGGAATGGATCTTTCAAAAGAAAAGAAATATAGCGTGTAAAAAAATAATGTCAGGTTAGGTGCTTTTTTTAGGTTGTGCATAATTAAGAGGTAAACTTTTCTCCTATCTTAATAAGTTTAAAGGAGATGCTTTCAATTCTCCTTTTTTTCTCACATTTTTGCTTTAATAATGTTGCCATTCCTTTTTGCTTATGATTATCTATGGGTGACTTTCTTTGTTTTCCAAGCTTTTTGTAAACTTTAAGGGAATCACATAAAGCACAAAACCTACTCCAAAACTCACGTCAGTGACCAATTTGTTAACAGGTGGATTTCAAAGAACTGTGTCCAACTTCTTGCTTACTGGTCTGTTGTCTTCCTGGGCTGCTTTTGTTGCCTTTTTCCTTACTTCCATCTTTTATTTTGCGGCAGAGCGTCACCAAAGGACATACCTCCACGTGCAGATTCCGGGTTTTTTATGGGGTGAGACAGATCACGACTACTAGAGCGTAGAACTTTTAAGACAGTGACCATTTGTAAAAGCTACGTCACAGTTTAAAGTACGCATGTGCAGTGTGATGCAATGTAGGTAATAACACGAAAGGTAACATTTGCAAAGCAAGAGCATAATTTTTATTTTACATGTAGTTTGCATACAGTCTGCTCTGTTAATTCTTACTCAAGCACATTGACAGGAGTCTAAATCCCTCCTGCTGTAAAATTGCAACATGATGTAACCCAACACTGGTTACCATGGTGACAGGCGTCTGGTTCAGGTCATTGACCTGATTTGTTTGGAGAAGAAGAAGAGGAAGAAGAAACAGAGCAAAAACAATATGTTCTCCTTCTGCAAAGGTAAACATTAGTATGTCAATTTAGAATATGTCAAATATCGGCAGGGGACTTCAACTTATTACCCACAGTTCATCACACTGCACATGTGCATTTCAAACCGTGGACTAGCTTATTGTGAGTAGTTTAGAAGCCAAATCGACCTCTATAACTTAGAGCAGCGCTAGTGTGAAAATTCTCTCTTTTAATCATTGACAGAAACAATTTTTTTTACAAATTTTTGTGACTGAAGTGATTTTGAGGATACCTCTAGTGCAGAGCCTTTTTGCACTTGTTTTTTAGTCTGAAATTCTGATTTCTTTTCTGTCTTATTTTCTTCAATAAAACCTTATTCTTTAACTGGTGGATTTACAATCAATGGCTAATATTAAATCCTTCTTCATCTTTTGTCCAAATTGTTGTAAGTAGAAGTATAAAGACCCAAAGGCCACACATTCAATGAGCCTTGAGTATGTATAATTGATTATTAATTTGTTCCTTTTAGTGCTTGATTTGATGTAAAGAAACGTAATAGAGGGCAAGAAATCTTCATCTTTGTTATTACCAATCAAAGTTGATTTTTAGAAAAAATTATGCGGCATCAAAAACTTGTCTTGATGCACATTGCTTTGCATTTCTTAATACTTTCAGTCCTGTTTTCTCAAATTTTTTCCACTTTCTAAGCAGGACTTCATCTGATGGCCTGTTCATTTTACCAAGAACTTTTAAAAAATAGCTTTAATTTTTGTTAATTAATCACAATGTATCTTACTACACATGCGCAGATATAACCCAATGAACCAGCTCATTAAAAGTCCAAGGATCTAAAAGTGAAAATAATGATGGTAAAAATTTATTATTTTCCCAACAGGACACTGAAACATTTAGAAGAGACAGCGGAGCATTTCTTCATCGACGTGATTCTACAGCGTCACGCTCGCAAGCTGCTCAGCGCAGGGCGACTACGGGAGCTGGGTTCGTTCGCGGCGCATCTTAACTTCGAGCTGATTGGTTGGTTGCAGAAGGAGAGGTGAGTCAACCTACTTTTCAAAACAAGACTGGCAATGAAAACATACATTGCCATGGCGACGGTGGTTGCTGTTAGGGTTATTGTTTGCATGGCACTGCCATCATTTCATGATTTTGAGGTAGACTTGGTACCTGTTAAGTCTAGACAGATACAATGCACTCCTCCCCTGAGTGTATAGTGAACGAGCCCCGGGGTCACAGAAAGTAGGGCCATCCAGGGCAGAGAGGTCTTCCCAAGGGTTTCCAGGAATGTGTGCATAGATGCGGGTCAGAGAAATGCCTGTGGACATTCCATTCCTGTGGACAAAATGCCTGTACCATTCCTAGAATTCTTGCAAACTGCACACAATACTGTACCATTAGGCTCCTCCCTGAGATGTCGCCAAAAACACTGGAAAGAAACTAGAGTTTTTTTATCTTTTCTTACAAAGGTTTGTACACGTGTACACTCAGATACATACATATACATGTAGTCAATGTATATTAGTTTCAGGTACAGAGGTTTAGCTACAGGTCTGGACTCATACTTAAACCCGTCAATGCAGGGCTCGAAATACTTTTTTCAGCCAGGTGGCGCATGTTGCCACCTGAGTCAAAAGCCAGGTGGCGCCATCAGTATTCAAGTGGCAACACTTCCAAGTTATCATTTTCTTCAAATCTGCTACTTATATCTATTACGTTTTCTTCTAGTTAACTACTTAAGTTTTATGTTATAAAATAAAGTAATGTAAAGAACAAAAGCTCTCAAACAACAATGTTTTAATAAAGAATGCCACCTTTACATGTCTTCAGGCTCAGAGCTTCTACTGTTATTCTCGAACAACAATGTTCTGTTATGAGCTTCTACTGTTATTCTCGAACAAAAATCCACTTGCCCTATCGGGCAAGTACATGGTCATTTTCACTTGCCCGAACCAACTTTTCACTTGCCCAAAATATATATGACCTATTTTGATGCATTCTCAATTGCAACAATGCAATCCTTCTATTTTTTTTATAAATAAAACCACTGTTAAGTTATTAGGCAATTTTATGTCAAGTTACTAAAGATATGATGTGTTTGACAACATGGGACAATATTTGCTGCTACTGAAACTATTTCCTTCAACTTCAAGGTACAAACTTTTGTGCAAAATATACTGGTACTCTAAAGACAATGTTCAACAAAACAGGTAAAATTTTCTACAAATCTGAAGAAGCTTCATTGGCCAAAAAAGAATTTATTAAAGCCAGTGTACATAAAACTACCTTAAACATAATTTCATTCAGCTAAACCACTTCCTTTACCATACAGAGTAGAAAACATAAAATGGGCAGAATAATCAACAAAAAAGGTGTCATTGATTTGAACTTACCAGTAATGTAAGACAAGTTTCAACACAAATGTCTTTTTAATAGTACCTTCAAAGAAACTTAGAAGTTTTCTATGCATTTCTTAAACAATCTTCAAAACAATCTAGCCCAGTGTTATCTTCCGGTGACCTGTAAACAAATGTAACTTACAGCAAGGACCAAGTCGTCAAACAGATTTCCTAAGGGAAATAGGGGAGTAGGAAATCAGTCACGCATTGCCCAACTTTCATGCCCTTATGCGTGGTTGGGCCACAAGGGAAGATTCCATTTCAAAAAACCAACTTAGCCAACAATCTTATCTTTCTGGCTGTTTAGAATATTCTTTCCTTCATTTTCCCCCAAAAAATTAAGCCTGATGACAGTTCAAAATCCCCCAAACAATTCTAGAAACATCGTCTGCTGTTCCTGCACTCCCGCAACGCTGTCAAAGGCAAGATCTCGTCACGTCACGTGATCCCTCTAGTGATATAAGAATACCAAGTCTCGCGAGAGTGGGGCCCCGAGACCAAAACAAACATGGCGCCGCGGATCAAAATTAGACGAGGCGAGACGCTGGGCCCCGGGTGTTTCGTAGAAAATAAAGCTATTTACCGATTAATCTGTCAAGGTAATGGTATCTATGGACTTTTAATGGGTTTATTTACAAATGGACATGATTTTGACTGGAATTAATTGGTACTTTTGCGAGAAAAAATCAGCAATTTTGCCGCTATACTGGGGTGTCACAAAAATTTAACTTTCCCGATCGGGCAAGCCCAGAGGGAGATGTGCTTGCCCGATTAGCACTTTTACTTGCCTGGGGCAATCGGGCAATTTAACTTGTCCAACCCTGCTGCCACCTTTACATGTCTTCAGGCTCAGCTGCTACTGCGGCACACTTATGCGGGTGGTGTTACGTGCGCCATGTTCTTCGTTTGTGCAAGGATGATGTTAACTGTTATATGTAGCAGCTGGGGAAGAGCGGTGTCGCAGCAGTGACGTCCCTACCGCAAATTATAGGTGGCGCGCTGCGCCACCTGAGTTTAGGAATAAGTGGCGCCAAGCAAAATCAGGTGGCGCCGCGCCAGTGCGCCACCGGGTATTTCGAGCCCTGCAATGTGACAAATTCATCTTTATTTTAGACCAAGTCCTGTACAGAAAAAGTTCTTGAGGTATGGTCCAAGTACCTTAGATATTACACAATCCCATGATTGACATAGCATTTACTATAATACAAATGTCATGTATGTACATGTATGTATGAATCGACCCATTTTCTAATCATTTTACAATATTTTGCTGCAAATTTGTACAGTGTAAAATTGTCACAATATTTACAACATAAAAGTTAATAGTTTACTATGACAATCATGTGACACAATATAATACACATATTCCACCACAGGTCTAGAGCTGCCAGAGTGGACGACTTTGTGACGTCACTTCACACACTTCACAGGGACTTCCAGTGGCCCATGCCAGGTGCTACATCTGTCATATCCACTTGTCTACTGATGCTTCATGCTTTCAGTCTGGTTTTCTGTGGTGTTTTTTTCCCTTTTAGAAAAAAATTCCAGCCATGGAGTAAAAACTGTGGTCACTTACATGTACTAAAAAGAGACTACTAGCAAACCTGTGCACGTATCTAATGTTAGGAAGTCAGTGGCTACGTATTAGGCCACAGCAAGTAAATTTTATGGATAACATCCACTGCAGACTCCAAATCTAAATGCAAGTGGGCAAAAAAACAAGGCGGGCCAAAAAAAGGTTCATTTTGAAATTTTGACTCAATCATAAGATTGTACAAATGGTTTTGATTCAGTAGGAACATCACATATACACAGCCAGCATCACATATCACTGCATCAAAGTAAGACAAAACATTAAGTCAGAGAATCAAAGCCTTTTCTTGTCTCCTCTCTTCATAGTTATCTGCCATCCACCTTCCGGCATGGCAACAGACAGCTTTGCCCATTTTCGGCACATTGATAACTTTCAGAAGACAACAAAATTTCTTGTTGTTTTTTTGCCAAAATCACGCGAAAATTAATGCGCGCGCTGATGTCATCCATAAAAATGACTTGCTGTGGCCTTACAACAATCGTTGCAGGCTGCTTGGTTTTATGGTAATTTAGGTACATTGAATGCACTGTAGGTTTAGTTTTAGGCTACTTAGAGTTAGTTGAAATCAAAATCTGATCACACACAACATAAAAGGACATACAGACCCCCTTACTGTTGCACACAATATGAATGACTGGGTTAAAAATATCTGCGTGTGTCCATGAATGTTATTTCCCTTTTGTATCAAAAGGAATTTTGCAGGTTTGGGGTAAGTTTAGGACCCTTTTTTGCCTACCATGGCTGCTATTTTTACACTTCTTTTTATTCCTGTACTTCACCATACCTTTTGATGCTATATTTCATGGTTTATCTTCACGTATCCTTGCTCCTCTCTTTTCTAGTGATTGCGTTGTCTCAGGTGATGTCCAGATCTAACAGCGGTGAGTTCCTCTGGGGCCTTTCCTTCAGCTTTTTTTTTATTCCTAGATGCACTACTTGCACATTGTAGTATAAGTGCTGGCCATCCTTTTCTATCCCTCACTGAAGCATTCTTATACATTATGTATTAACAGATTTAGATACAGAGAGAGAGAGAGATTAATTCACAGAAAAGTCATTTGCCGTCCAAATGTTATAATATAATTTTACAGTCGTGTGATAATAACAATAGCATATTATTAATTAAATTTTGTTAGAGAAGTCTTTAAGGAAAGTTAAACTTAAAGTTATTAAGTAAACTTTTTATCATATTTGATATACCAACAACAGCCATTTGAGCAAACATGCTGTTTATTTCATGCCACCCAAAAAAAATTGCGTTCATGTTCCGACATTTTGCGATTTTCCTCAGCAGGAGAGAGGTCCAGATCGTCATCGTACGAAGCGTTGGAAGTCGGAGTGAACGGACTGACGCTGAGCGACATCAGCGAGGGACCAAACCGGCTGCGACCAAACGGGATGTCAGCGAGCCCTTCGCTCAGGTCATCCATGGACCTTCTGTGTGATGAACTCAGGCAGGAGGCTCTGGACTCCAGACAACTCAACTCCAATCCTAAAGGTATACACAGACCTGTAACTGTATATGCATAGGACTTCTGGGTCTAAAGATTTACCTATCCGTACAGAAGTTTTGTTTTGGGTGGGTTTATCTGTGCGTTTGTATGTACGTGTATGCATGTCTGGACACAGCAGGTTGACAGCACATGGGTTGGGAGAAAATTGATATGCAAAGTGACACATCGAAAGGCCAGACACAGGTAATGGGGTGAAACTGTAGGTCCCAAAATCTGCCAGGAACCAGTTGATATTAAGAATTTGACATGGGAGAACTCGGAAAGAATTGCTCCAGTGTCCCTCCAACGGACCTGCACAGTTTCTGATAATAAAGAATAAGTCATAATTAAAAAAAAAAGTATTTATTGTTTTTGCTCAGTTTCCTCTTCTTCTTCTCCTAACACTAACCTCTGACCTGGCCAATGACCTGATTTGTTGACATCAGTCACCATGGTAACTGGTGTTGGGTTACTTAATGTTGCAATTTTATAGTGGGAGGGGTTTAGACTCCTATCTGACCATATTTATGAATGTATTTTTTTAATATGTACTTGGAAATTTTACTATCTTATGTTTAGGAGATAATGGCAGCACAGCAGCGACAGAAACGTCGGAGATGTCAGCGTCGATCGTGGCGGATGATTCGGAGCTGACCCTGGATGACAGCATGTGGAACCTGGCTAACCTGGATGAGTTGGAGGCTCTGTCCCAGGAGCTGGCCTGCAGAGGGCCGCCACACTGTGAGACACAGCTCAGGTAGGCAGTTAACTGTCCATCATTTTCAAAACTTTCTTTTTTATCAGACGATTCGTTTTGAACCATTATGTATGAACTGTAAGTTTTGAAGAATGAAAGTTGGTTAACGTGTTTCAATTTTTGAGTTATATAAGGTTGAAAGGTAATAATTAAGTCATCAATTATCTCTCTTATCATTTTTTAAATTAAAGTAGAAATTAGTTATTATATGATAATAATAGTCTTGCTTTAAGTCAGCACAGCACTCAAGTAGCATGTTGGCAGAATGTACTGTGCCTGCATGAAACCCGTAATGTATTGTGCATAGCACTTCAGCAGAAGAACTCTCTTTTATTAGTTTTTTAATTTATTTAAAAGGCAACTGAGTGACAATTGCAAAGTTGCTACAAACTTGGCCCACAGTGATCAGTGATATCATAACAAAAGGTAAAATAACTCTTCAGCTATTTGACATCAAATCATTCCCATAATGCTAAAGGCCATACACATGCACCAAAACCAGGCATTTCCTATACATGTATAATTGTTGGGTCTTTTATGTTTTATATTCGAAAATGCCAAACTTGTTAGAGCCATGTAGTAGTACATACTATCCAATGTACACGCATATAGATATTTATATATATAACTCTTCAGCTATATATATATATATATATATATATATATATATATATATATATATATATATATATATATATATATATATATATATATATATATATATATACATACATACATACATACATACATACATACATATATATATATAGTTATTAGAATAAATTCAAGTACTCAAGTTTGATACATGTACATTAAATTTTGTATCATGAGACTGAATACAGACTGAAGCAGTCAATTTCTTTTAGTACCTTCAATTTCATTTCTATGCAAAATAGTACTAATATGTACAAGGTTAAGTCATAATCTGTGGATCTTGACAAAAACATATGAATATACATGTATTTATAACATCACAGGCTTTACTGGGACTGTACTAATGCTTGACATCAAATTACATTATTGACCTTGTGAGGTGGTCACAGTTCCTGTACCCTGAACATTCTGCACTGTTACATGTATATATACTTCCTGATACAGTGGTCACCAGGGTCAGCTACAAACACAAGTCCATCCTCTGTCACAGCCACTCCGAGGGGCCAGTTCAGTTTGTCCCCATAACTGCTAATGGTAGACACCCAGGTGCCGTCAAGGCGAAACACCTGAAGCTTCCGATTCCCAATGTTTGCCAGAACTATGTTCCCCCTGCTGTCAGCTGACACCCCTGAAGGGTGCTGCATGCTCTGTGGCTGTCTGCCCTTCTGACCAAACTCGTGTTGGAAGTTCAAGTTCTTGTCAAACACCTGAACGCGGTGGTTGTCTTTATCTGCCACGATGATGTTGTCTTCTTTATCCACACAGACAAAATGTGGCCAGTCAAACTGCCCCTCCCCCTTCCCCTGCCCTCCCACCTGTTTCACCAGTGTCCCATCTGCCTCAAACAGGAAGATGCTGTGTTTGCCATTATCAGCTACAGCAACCCTCCCATCCCTCTGTACTGCCAGGCCAAAAGGCATTGTGCAACATTCACCCAGAGGGAATTTGTGCAGCATTTCTCCTGATGGGGAAAATTTCTTCACTTCCTTCTCAGAGTTTACCACTATAGTGCCATCAGTCTGAACTGCAAGTCCTTTAGGGCTGGCTGTAGGAAATGAATGACAAAACTTCCCACTCAGATCAAACACCTGAACACGCTGATTATGAGTATCTGCCACATACAGCCTGTCCCCCCTCACTACTACATCTGAAGGATTGTTAAACTGCCCCTGCTGACTTCCCTTTTGCCCAAATCTCAGTACAGGGTTGTCTTTACTGCCCACATACACAATGCGAGAACCCAGATTCTTCTTATCCTCCATACAGACCGTCAGTTTGTGCATGCCTGGCTGCTGAGGTCTCCATTCTGTACCCCAGACCCTGCTAACCCTGCTGGTTTGTCCCTTCCCTGCAGCTAGTGGGGGACTAGTGTGTGCTGTTGTTTGCATGAGGGTGGTTTTACCATGGGGGGAGGTCACTTCTATCTGTGGGGCAACTTTCCCACCTGTTAGATCTGCATCGCTGGTTGTGGCTGTGACAGAGCAGGGAAGACTCTCTACTGCTGGCCCTTCTACATCAATAGTGAACCTAACTGACTGTGATAAGGAACTTGATGAGACCTGAGGCTGGCTTGAGGGTTGGAAGGACACACGACCTGCCGGCTTCTGTACATTAAGTCCTACACGGCTGGTAGTAGGAAAGGAACCAGATGATACCTGGGTGGTTGGGGGCAGCGGTGGGGGGTTATTTTTCCTGTCCTTGATCGTGAGTACTGTAAGCTCTGAGATCATTTTCTGCTCTTCATCTTGAGGTCTGAAGTGTGTTTCCCACGGTTTGTAACGGTTCATGGTTTCAGAGATGTCTAAATCTTGGACCATTGCTAAAACTGCACTCGTTTCTTCACGGGCTTGATGTTCCCTCCCTATGACAGAAAGAAATGGATCATTGCAAAATTGGTGTCAGTATCATATTGGGGTTTGATTACTAAATTACTAATAAAATTAATGACAATCCACAACATGACACAGACATATTATTTACAAGTCATATATTGTGTATATATAAGCTTTAAGGTTAATTATTGATTTAAAAACAAATGTGAATTAACTTCATCATTGTTCCTCCTGATTTTTAAATCCGGTGAGCTAACCTTCATGCATTTTATAATTATCTTTAAGTTAATTTTTTTCTTGATCACACATATATCATGTGGCTGATCTCCCTCCTGACTTGATAAGATTGTCCACATTCTTGTTCAATATTCCATATGTAAATATTCAAACACTTGAATCAGATACGATCTTTGTCTGTCACAATGTTACATCTTTATCTACTCTCATGTCCCGAATAAACATACCCCCCGGAATAAACATACCCCCCGGAGAAATCTTCAAAGTCTAATAAACATACCCTCCGGAATAAACATACCCCCCGGAGAAATCTTCAAAGTCTAATAAACATACCCTCCGGAATAAACATACCCCCCGGAGAAATCTTCAAAGTCTAATAAACATACCCTCCGGAATAAACATACCCCCCGGAGAAATCTTCAAAGTCTAATAAACATACCCTCCGGAATAAACATACCCCCCGGAGAAATCTTCAAAGTCTAATAAACATACCCTCCGGAATAAACATACCCCCCGGAGAAATCTTCAAAGTCTAATAAACATACCCTCCGGAATAAACATACCCCCCGGAGAAATCTTCAAAGTCTAATAAACATACCCTCCGGAATAAACATACCCCCCGGAGAAATCTTCAAAGTCTAATAAACATACCCTCCGGAATAAACATACCCCCCGGAGAAATCTTCAAAGTCTAATAAACATACCCTCCGGAATAAACATACCCCCCGGAGAAATCTTCAAAGTCTAATAAACATACCCTCCGGAATAAACATACCCCCCGGAGAAATCTTCAAAGTCTAATAAACATACCCTCCGGAATAAACATACCCCCCGGAGAAATCTTCAAACTCTAATAAACATACCCTCCGGAATAAACGTACCCCCCCGGAAAATGACCAAATTGACAGGTGAACGGTACTAAAATGTGCTCTTTATTTCAATACCAAATCTTTCACTGTTACTTTTGATTAGGAATATAAATATACTGTACTAGTACTTGTTGTTGGGAAATACAACATCATTTCAATGTAATAAAAGAAACATGAGGCTGTCTATGTAATACTATACCTCAACAAACTTGTGTCAACATTACAGCCATATGACACCACTAGCAATAGGGGTGGGTACCTGTTCGGCTCTTTCAGGTCCAGGTCCAGAGGATCAGGTCCAGGTCCGGACCTGTACCTGTACCTGATTCTGAATACCGGAGTATCAGTACCGTAATTTTTTTTTGCTAAATGATCATTGCTAAATACAATATAAGTATAAGTACATGTAACCACTACAATAATTTTCATTTTATTTTATTTTTTCTTTTTATTTATTTTTTATTTATTTTCATTTTATTTTTTATTCTATTTTATTTTATTTCATTTAATTTTACTCTATTTTATCCGTTCTATGCATTATCAAACTTCACCTCTACTCCTAGAGCTCCATACTCATGATACTATAACATTAAGTTCAGACCGAATATATTAAACATTTTAATTCGCCCCCTCTAGCGGTTTGGGCCAAATTGCAGCTTTCCAAAAAAATCCAAGATGGCGCCGGCAGATCGGCGCGGCGCGGCGATTGCCGGTTTCCTTGTATTTTCCTTGGTATTTTACGCGATTCAAGCAAAGAAAACAAGTTGACCACAAGAACAAAAGAGTAATACAGCACTGGGAACGTAATGGTCCGTTTTGTTGGGCGGTAATTTCTCATTTCGAGTGAATATTTATGTGCGTCACAGTGTGACTACTGGTGACTCGATCCGAACCAAACACGGCCTGTAATTTGTTCTTCGTGATTTCTAGATAACTATCGGTAACAAAGACATGGGAAAATATTGTTGCAAAACGAGAGAGACGGAAACTAAGGTAAATTTCTTTTATTTTAAGGCTTAAAATAAAATTATATCGATAGTGACAATTTTTTTCCAAAACCGATTTTCCAAAAATTTATAAACGTACCGTCCCTAATAAGAACGTACTGGGTGGACGTTCGGGCCGAAAAAAATAAACGTACCGGTACGTTTAATCGGGACATGAGAGTACATGTACACTGGCAAAGCATGGATTCTTAATTTGTCCTTCCCCTGTCCCAGGTTCAGGGCATAATATAACTTCTTGATTTGATTTATTTAACTGTATAGAGATATTTGCTAGCAACCGTTTTAGCCACACCCATGATATTGGACGAATTAGCAACCGTTTTAGCCACACCCATGATATTGGACGAATTTTTTTTCTTAATCCAATTTTAATGTCATTTTTCCCCGAACCGGGGGTTAGA